CAGCAAGGGGCCCATTTCCCAACCCAGACTCACAAACTATCAAAAATCAATGAAAGACTAAGTCTTTTAACAAAATAGGACTTGCAACTGTATGTACCCTAACCACAGCAGTGATGTCCCATCACCTTTGCCATATTCTATTGGTTAAAAGCAAATTCCAGGCCAGGTGTGGTGGCTCAGGCCTGCAATTCCAGCACTTTGGGAGGCAGAGGCAGGTGGATCACTTGATCTCAGGAGTTCGAGACCAGTCTGGGCAATGTGGCAAAACTCTATCTCTACATAAAAAAAAAAAAAATAGCCAGGTGTGGTTGTGTGCATCTGTAGTCCTAGCTACTAGCGGGGCTGAGGTGAGAGGATCGCTTGAACCTGGGAGGTCAAGGCTGCAGTGAGCTGAGATCGCGCCACTGCACTTCAACCTGGATGACAAAGTGAGACTCTGCCTCAAAAAAAAAAAAAAAAAAAAAAGCCAATTCTACATCCCCCACATCCTGCCCACACTCAAAGAGAGGGATTACATCAGAAGGTAGCACCAGGAATCATTGGGGTCATTCTACAATCCACCTGCCATGAGGGGTAGGGAGGTAGTGCCTGGGATTTTTACTTATAAATGGTGCCATTTATCAAAAGAGTGAATTAGGCTAGGTACAGGGGCTCATACCTATAATCCCGGCACTTTGGGAGGCTGAGTCAGGAGGACTGCTTGAGGCCAGAAGGTCTAGACTACAATGAGCTATGATTATGCCATTTCACTCCAGCCTGGGTGACAGGCCAAGACCCTGTCTCTGAATAAATTGACGAATTAATTAATTTATTTAATTTTTTAAAAAGAGGGTCCAATTTGAGGGGCAAAGAGTGTGGTGGTGAATCTTAGAGTCAATGGAGATCAAAATAGGATCTGCAGAGAATTTTGGAATTTATCTCAGTTTAACTGTGGAAAAAGAGACTAGGCTGTGGAAAATGAGACTTGGGTTTCTGGGACAGAGGACAAGAGGAGGCCTCAGGGACTCTGAAGATAGTTCTACTGATTCTGTTCATTTGTTAGAAAAACCAAGTGATAAAATAGACCTGTGATCAAATCTCTGTAGCAAGGATGAAGGGGAGGAAAACACAGTTGTATTTTCAAGAGCAGGAACTGTGTATTTTAATGGATGCATTTCCACGTTTATTGAAAGCAAGAAGCAGACCAATTGTCTCAAGTTCTGAATTTATTCCCTGAGGAAAAGACTTCAGCTTCTTCTGAGAGTAAATGGATAATCACAGGAGGCTTCAGAGGGCATACAAGTGAGGGCTTTGGGTTCAGAGACAAGGCAGCTGGAGCGCTGAGCAGGGTGAGGGGCGAGAGAGACGCACTGAGATAGGAGAACAGGGAGCCACTGTCCAGTCCCAGCCATGCGGTGTCTTAGCTCTGTGACACCCAGCCTATGACCTGGCCTCCTCCAGCCTCCATCTCTGGGCCTATTCCATGGAAATGTCATGGAATGCTTATTTTTCTGAGCTGTCCTGAGGACCAAACAAGAGCATTCATCCCACAGAATTTTAGAAGTACCTGCAAAGAGAAATATGACTAAGTCCCATCTTCCTTCAGCTCACAGGCCTGTTGATTTGTGTGAACCAGTTTTATCAACCAGAGTGTGGCCAAAACACATGAGATGTTCCCAAAAGACTACCTGTTGCATAGCACTGACACCATTTCCTACCTTGATACCCAAAGCAGGAGTGGGTGGAAAGTTAACTGAGGTGACCACAGGAGTTCTCTTTACTAGGACAGAGTCTAAAGTGTTCTAACATGACTTTTTTTTTTTTTTTTCCCAGTACTACCCGTTCATTTCACAGATATGGCCTGATATAATTTTTTAAATCGATCTTGCCAGGTGCGGTGGCTCACGCCTGTAATCCAAGCACTTTAGGAGACCAACACGGGCAGATCACCTGGAGTTGGGAGTGCAAGACCAGCCTGACCATGGAGAAACCTAGTCTCTACTAAAAATACAAAATTAGCCGGGCACGGTGGCACATGCCTGTAATCCTGGCTACTCGGGAGGCTGAGGCAGGAGAATCGCTTGAACCCAGGAGGCGGAGGTTGTGGTGAGCCGAGATCACGCCATTGCACTCCAGACTGGGCAACAAGAGTGAAACTCTGTCTCAAAAAAAAAAATTGATCTCAATATCATGGAATTAGAGACAGCAGAGAACCACCTATCACTGATATGTCCTCAAATCATACCCACAATCTCCTTGCATCTCAGTTTTTTCATCTGTAAAATGAAAATAATAATAATAATACAATAATTATCCACCTCAAATGGAGGCTCAAAGGAGAGAATGGCTATACCGTTGTTTCCTAAACTGAAATAAGAATACAAGCAGGAGCGAAGTGTGCTCTCTACTGTGTGTGTTTCAACTCAGTCCGAGGATCCTGAAGATCCTAGCACCATGCAGCTGTAGTTGACATTTGCAGAGAACTTCATGATTGTTAAAAGTTATTCTTTCCCCCAAATACTGTGGCACCCTGCTCCTTCTGGCCTTAATAATGGAAATGGAATTGGAAGCATGAATGCTGAGGTAATTGAAGTTAGAGTTTATCAATGTGAGAGCTGGAATTAGGAAGCCTAAGGCCTGGCACCCTGGTGCAGATGCTTCGCCTGTGACCGTACAACTTTCCATGCAACCACAGACACCATCAAAGGAGCACATGATCCGCATCAGCTTTCAGTTTCTGCGCTGACCCTAAAGATGGCCGAGGGTCACAAGGACCTCCTGAGCTGCAACATCTTGTTTCTGAGTTTCAGACAAACTTCAACTGAGTTCTAAAGCAACCTGGATCCAATTATGGAATTATTAGATGGATACAAATGTATGAAACAATTAAAAATACAATATGGGCATGATATTGTTTATCCTTGGTTTTGTTGGATGACATCCATCTTTTTTAATGGTAGGGGAAAAAAGTATGTACTCACTATTTACTCAAAACCCACCACCTGCAGGCTCAGAGGAAGCTCTGGGCATCTGTCAGCAGTTGCTTTTCTCTAGTGGCCATTGGCTTGCCCCAAGCCAGCCGGACATACCCTCATCTGATTCCATTCAGACCAAGAGTGTTAAGAAGTCTACTGCCCCCACCCCCCCCAATATCTTTGGTCCTCTTCTTCCTTTTAGTGATAGACCTCCAGTTACTAAGTTTTCACAGAGCCTATGGCCACTCAGTTAAAGATAACATTTTGCAAATGCCCCTGGAGCCAGGCGCAGTCACATGACTAAGTTTGTACCAAAAGATTAGAAATAGAAGCAGTTAATGCAACTTCTTTTTTTTTTTTTTTTTTGAGACGGAGTTTTGCTCTTGTTGCCCAGGCTGGAGTGCAATGGCGTAATCTCGACTCACCGCAACCTCTGCCTCCCAGGTTCAAACGATTCTCCTGCCTCAGCCTCCCGAGTAGCTGGGATTACAGGCATGCACCATCACACCAGGTTACTTTTTTGTGTTTTTAGTAGAGACAGGGTTTCTCCATGTTGGTCAGGCTGGTCTTGAACTCCCAACCTCAGATGATCCGCCTGCCTCGGCCTCCCAAAGTGCTGGGATTACACACATGAGCCACCATGCTCAGCTGATGCAACTTCTTTAAAAGGAAAGGATAAGCTTTGGACTTCCTCTCTCTCCCCGCAGACTACAATGTGGATATACTGGTGTTGCTCTCCTTTGGATAGTGTGGACAGAAGTGTCAACCTAGGGAAGAGTGGAGCAACAAGAAAGAAGGAACCTGGGCCTCTGGATATCCTTCTAGATCAGAGCCACAAATTCCGCCCAGCCAGCTTTTCCCAGATTATTATGTAAGAAGACATAAGCTCCTATTACTAAGCTACTGTGTTTGGGAGTATTTTTGTTACAGCAGCTGAGCCTAGACTTTGACTAACACACTTGTGCATTGGTGAAGAAATGGGCTGAATTACAGTGTGACTCCTATACAAAAATATTAATTGATGCACTCTTATGGATGTTAAAACTGTGACCAGGACATTGAACATCAAAGAACATAATAAATGAGAGTGAACTCAAAGATCATAGGCTTTATTTTCATAGTCCTCACAATTTCCAGGCAAGTATTAATCTTGTAGACCACTAAGTACATGAAAACTACCTTTCATAATGGCAGGTGTGGAGGAGGGCTGAGGAAGAAGAAAAATGTTGAACCTCCATAGAGCATTTACTATGTACTAAAGACTCTACTCCACATGTTATATCCTGTCAATAGTGAAGGTAGATATTATCCCCTCATTCCCACTGCCCCATCCACATCTTAAATAAGAACATGGACTCAGAAAGGCTTGATTTGCCCAAAGTCAGCAAGTTTGAGAGCCAGAATTTGAACCCAAATCTATTGGTGTCAAACTTCTTCTCAAGAATAAAGAATCAATAAGAATAAAAGTGGGTTGCCATCTCATGACAATTATGACCCTTCAAATAATAAGCACTTTACACTCATTTTAAAGCTCTAATAATACCAGAGAAGTACAATTTTGAGCAGGTGAAAGGACCTGTATTTTTTTCTGCAAAGTGTTGGTGAATGCTACCTTCTTGTCTCTGTCACCTCTGCTTCAGGATGGGGACCAGGGCTAGAGCTTTGTGTTCTTAGCACCCCATCCATATGCCATTCTGTGTGGTCACACATCTCATCCAACTTCCTAGGACTCTCCATTCCCACTGTGGTCAGTCTAGCACTTCAGTGAGACAGAGGACTGACTTGGAGAAACCAAATCTAGAACCAGACCCTCTCACTGAGACAAGTAACAGGAGGCCAAACTGCCCGCAGGTGTTGGGATCCTAGATAAAGCCCTGACTCTCCTCAAGCCGGCGTTCAGTGGGGAGAGAGAGAGACAATAAACAAAACCATATACACAGCGAAGAAATTACGCGGGTATGGGGACAGAGACTGGGCTAGAAGGTAGCTACTTTACGTCGGAAGGTTAGGGAGTGCCTCTCTGAGGACACCAAGGATGTTTCACCTGAGCGAAATGCGGAAGTAATTTGTGCAAAGTCAACAAGTTCAAAGTTACCTGAGGTAAAGGTGTGTGGTTTGGGAGACATCAGGAAGACCGCCTTAGCACCAGGGCTGAAGGAAGAGCTCCTGGATTCCCTGTTCCAGTCTCTCCTCTTCATGGTCCTGTAGTCCCCGCAGGGTTTGAACTGGGAGCACTCTCTAGCCCAGACCAGGATTCCACGACAGGTCCCCATTCCCAGGTGGCAGCTGGGAGAGACGAGGCTACAGAGCTGGTTACCAAGACAGGGAATGAGGTTGGGACACCAACACCAGATCTGAGGGCAGGGTGGGGAGTGGGGCTCAGGAACCAACAGGTAAGCCAATTAGTAGAACTGGGACATCAGTGCCAACAAACAGCAGAGCAAACAAACTGCAGTGTCTGGATGTGGAATTTCCAAGGAAATGTATGATTATTTCAGCACAGTTCACACCTCCCTCACTCCCACACAAAATGTGCATTCCCTCTGTCTTTGCCTCTTGCTTCTCTCCCTTTTGTTTACTCTATTCTAGGCACACTTGCCACCTGGCCCGACTCACGTCTGCCTCCAATGCTTGAACTTGCTATTCCCTCTTTCTGGAATTCCCTTCCCTCAGATGCCCTCAGGGCTCATGCTCTTACCTACTTCAGTCTTTGCACAAATGTCACCCTCTCAGTCAGGCCCATGCTGGCCACCCTCTTCCAAATTGCAAACACAAGATGGAGGAAGAAGCTCCCTGGCTAAAGGAGAGGAACCCTGTAAGGGAACCTGGCTCAGCCAAGGACAGAAACAATATGTCACTTAGGTGAAAGTCAGGCAACTGTGGAACCCATCCTGGCACCCAGCATTCCCTTCTAATTGCCTGGGGAGAGTTGAGAAACCAAACTAGAACTCCACCATTGATATACCACTAACACTGGGGTCCGGGCACATGAGTTTTGGTTTTACTGTGTTTGTGTGTTTTTTAGGGGAATATAGACAATACATTACCAAAAAGGTTCAAAATTTAAAACATACCAAGGGACACTCAGTGAAAACCCCTCCTGTTCCTCTTGCCTTTTAACTACCTGCTCCCTCCACCAAAAGCCATAAATCTTATTAGTGTCTGGTGTATCTTTCCAGAAATATTTTATAGATAAACAACCAAAGATGTTTCTATTCCCCTCTGCCCTTTATCCAAATGGTGTCATCCTATACATACCCTCTTCGCTTTTTTCACTTAAATGTCTTAAGATATCTCCCTCTCACTCCTGTCACAGCAGCTTAGTAATCTCTTTAGGTATGCTATCATGTTTTATTTAAGCAGTTCCCTTTTGATGAACATGTGGGCTATTTCTAATCCTTTGTTGTCAAAAACAGTACTGCAGAGAATAATCTTAAACACAGATCATTTCACCATGGATAATTCCGTTGGGATTGCTGTACCCAGGGTGTGAGCATTTTCAGTTTTGATCAACAGCACCAATCTGTCCTTCCTAAGGAAAACCCCCTATATGAGCAGGCAACCGAAATATGACTATTTCAGCACAAAACCCACACTTCAGTGCTCAGGGCTTGGCCCATAGTTGGAGCTTAATAAATGTTTGTTAGGCGAGTATATGGGAGGATGAGAGGATGACTAGATGGGAGGTTGGGTAGATGGATATACAACTAATGATGAAATTCAAGACAGTGCAAGTACTGCCTCCTTCCAGAAGGTCTCTGAAAACCAGCCTACACTTATTCCTCTCTTTTTTGTTTCCAGGGCCACAGAGTTTAAGACTTAATTGTTCTTCTTCATATGTATCCCTTTTGTGTCCTTAAATTAAGGGTAAATTCCTGGAGGGTCAGGACGACAGAGACTGGCAGGAAACAGCAGAGCAGATGGAATCCCAGCTCTACCATGTACTAGCTGTAGGACTCTGGGCAAGTTGCTAAATCGACCTGGCACCAGCTGCCTTGTATGTCAAGTGGGGGTGATTACACTTGTACCTACCTACCCCATAGGTGGTGCTGAGAGAATTACACATGCTAATGAGAGTAATGAGCTTAGAACATGCCGGCCAACAGCAAGCCCTCGACAAATGTTTGCTGCTGATCATGATCGTGTTTCTGTTGTATCTCTTCCATTGCTTACAGTAGTGGTGGGCACACAAAGAGATATTCTGCCAGTATTTCACCACTGATTCCATACACTTTCATAAACAATCAGTTTTAGTTGAACCATGCCATTCTTCCAGCATGCACATTGCTTTTGAATGCTGTTGAATATCTCTGACCTTATCTGCCTAGCTTGAGTCAACACAAGTATACATTAACTTATTCCATGAAAATTTAATATTATCAACCAGGAGCCAAGATTGGAGCCATGAACAAGACAGCAAAATCTTTGCCTTCATGGGGGCTTCATTTTAGTGAAGGAGACACAGCCAAAGGAGCTAAGTGAAAGAGGCAGCCACTCTGGGGAATTCACTGCATGAAATGACTTTGTTTTGAAAGTTTCAGAGGCAGAATTATCCAGATTGTCTGTCGGCATATCCCAAATGTACCTGGCTGTTTGCTTTGCTCTCGAGTTTATTCATTTTAGCTATGAAGCTTTTACCCAAGTGCTCGGAATTTCCTTTCTTGAACATCCCTTTAATCAGATCCATTCCCCTGCTCACCTCCTTGATCATTCTTCTCCAGCATAGTTGCTAATGATGTGTGCATGTGCCAGACTTGCACAAATGTTGGGCTGCCAACCACTCTGCGCCTGTTAATTTCATTCTCAGCTCAAGCCGGGATCCTTGAGTTACAACAGATGCTGCTTCCCTGGGGCTTCAGTGCCCATCGATCAGCTTTGTTGATGAGGAAGGAAAGTTTCCTCCTTGACTGCCATTTGAATATAATTTATTGTGTTCTGAAAGAAAAGTGGAAAGACGAAAATGTATGGATGGGCAATAATACAAATGAATTGTGATGGATGACACTCAGATTTCAGTTTCAAAGGAATATGCTTTTAAGTCGATAAATGATTGCAGTGGTGAGACGAAGTCTCCACAGCTGTGCCAAATGGGCCCTTCTAAATGGTCAGCGTGCCTGTTGGAGTCTACGAGGGAGTGAGATGGACAATTATAATAAAGAAAATAATAAAATAAGCACATGGTGTTTAAGAGCAACGACACCATAAACAGACTGTGGATTTTAATCCAAGCTCCAATCTTGAGCAAGTTACTTAATGGTTCTGTGCCTCATTTCCTCAAGTGTAAAATGGGAATTCTAATACCCGCTTCTAGTGGGATTTCTGGGAGGATTAAATGAGTTAAAATACAGGAAGTCATTAGAACAGTGTCTGGCATGTAGTAAGCACTAGATTGATATTTGCTCTTTTTGTTGTGATTAATGGTGAATGTTGCACTCTACCAGGTCCTGAGCTAAGCCTGTTTGTCCACGACTTCACTTCACTATCACCACCATTCTCCCTGTGACCATCATTGTGCTTACCCTTTACAGAGGGAAATGGGTGGAGAGCTATGCACTTGTCTTCCAAATACAGAAGAATTTCTGACTTTGCTCTTATCCTCACTTAGGTTTTTGTTGTTGTTTTGTTTTGTTTCGTTTTGTTTTTGGAGATGAAGTTTCACTCTTGTCGCTCAGGCTGGAGTGCAATGCTGTGATCATGGCTCACTGCAACTCCCACCTCCTGAGTTCAAGCGATTCTCCTGCCTCAGCCTCCCAAGTAGCTGGGATTACAGGCGCACACCACCACGCTAGCTAATTTTTGTATTGTTTTAGTAGAGACGGGGTTTCACCATGTTTCCCACACTGATCTCAAACTTCTGACCTCAGGTGATCTGCCCTCCTCAGCCTCCCAAAGTTCTGGGATTACAGGTGAGAGCCACCATGCCCAGTCTCTCACTTAGGTTTTATATGAGTGTCTTCTGTTTATGTATTTGCAGTTCCAATTAGGTATAGGAAAAAATTTTAAACACTGGAAATAAATATTCCAAGCTGTTCATAGTGATTGTTTCGGGGTGATAGGATTATGAGGGACTAGATTTCTTCCTTCTATCTTTCTGTATTTTGATAATTTCTAAAACTAGTTGTGTGTGTATATGTATACATGTTTATTTACAATAAAATGTATAAAATGAATGTTTAAATATGAAAGAAGGGCAGATTTAGTTCACCTCTTTCTTTTCCTGAAATAACTCAATCAACTTCCTCATCAGAGCACATTAATTAAGAAATCAGGAACTCAGTGTCACATACAGGACCAAGACTAGCTGATACTGGGCCTGGTCGTTGAAGAATTGTTGCTATTTCTGGGGACTTTCTTGGTCTATGAGATACCTAAGCCCATACAACAACATAATTTTATATGATGAATTATGTAGTTACATATATGCTGTACTAAGAAATGCTACATCTGAGATAAAGGTATGAATTTTAAATATCATAAATAATTTAAAATTAGAATGAAAATAAATAACAACAAAAGCAACAGCATATTTCCTATGTAAAGAGGAATTGCTTACATTTCAGGTGGTTTGTGAGTTCCTTTTGAATTGAGTACTTCTATTATCTGAGTCCTGGCCTGAATCTGAGGTTAATTAGATGTTACCTTACAGCTGTAGAGACCGTTTCTCCTTTAACAATACCACTCAACTTTTCATTTATCTTTCCTGGTTTCCTGCTCACCTGAAAATCTGTTGAGAATACATTACAGGTTTGATAGATTGGATTAAAAGGGGGAAAAAATAAAATAAAGGTAGTCCTACTTCACACTAATCTTATTTAAGAAAGCAACATGAGAGCTCTAAGGTCGACTGAGCTCAAGAATTCAAGGGCAGGGGCAGTTAGAAGTCCTCCTCATTCAATCTACAGCCTCAGAAAATCTTAGGCCTCTCATGGAATATAAGTAGTGGTAATGGGAGTAAGGCATGTTCTCTCTTTCTATGGCCCCCCCACCTCAATTTTGCAACAGTAGGAACCCAAGAGGAAAAAAATAATTGTCCAAAATGTGTTAGAACCTTTTATTAATATGTATTTCCAAAATACTGCTGTACGGTAAATCACCCAACTACTTAGTCACTTAACAAAAAACAACAACTGTTTACAAGGATGCAGAGAAAAGAGAACACTTTACACTGTTGGTGAGAATGTAAATCAGTACAGCCTCTATGGAAAACAGTATGGAGGTTTCTCAAAGAACTAAAAATAGAAATGCCATAAAATCCAGCAATTCCACTACTTAAAATCTAACCCCCCAAAATTATTATATTTAAAAAAGACACCTGAACGCACACATTTATAGCAACACTATCTACAACAGCAAAGTCATGGAATCAACCTAAGTGTCCATTCAGTGGATGATTGGATAAAGAAAATGTAGTATGTCTACAGAATGGAATACTACTCAGCCATAAAAAAAATGAGGTTGTTTGTTTTATTTTGTTTGCAGCAACATGGATGAAACTGGAGGCCATGATCTTAAGAGAAACAACTCAGACACAGAAAGACAAATACTGTATGTTCTCTTTTGTAAGTGGAGCTAAATAATGTGTACACATGAACTTAGAATGTGGAATGATAGACAATGGAGACTCAGAAGGGGGGGAAGGTGGGAGGGGATGGGTGATGAGAAATTAATGGGTATAATGTACATTGTTTGATAGATACCCTAAAAGCCCTGACTTTACCACTACGCAATATATCCATATAACCAAAATTAGAATTGTACCCCATAAATTTGTACAAATAAAATAAATAGAAACAAATAAATAAATGCACATAACCTATTTAACCACTTTTGACTGTTTCTAGTATTTTGCTATCATAAACAGTGCACCAAAGTCATTGTACTTTGTCATGTCACATATGTAATGTATACATATTTGTAAAATCTAGATGTGGCATTGCTGGGTCAAAGGGCATATGCATTAAATGTGTTTCATTAACAAAAAATGGAAAACGAATAAATAGTTTTTAAAAACAATGTAGGCTGAGCGCAGTGGTTCACACCTGTAATAGCCACACTTTGAGAGGCCGAGGTAGGCAGATCACTTGAGCCCAGAAGTTCAAGACCAGCCTGGGCAACATGGCCAAACCTTGCCTCTACAAAAAAATATAAAATTTAGCGGGGCATGTAGTACCCTGTAGTAGTACACACCTGTAGTCCCAGCTACTTGGGAGGCTGAGGCAGGAGGATGGTTTGAGCCTGGGAGGCAGAGGTTTCAGTGAGCTGAGATTGTACTATTGCACTCCAGCATGGGTGACAGAGTGAGACTCTGTCTTAAACAACAGCAACAACAACAACAACAAAAAACACCTACTTGCTTAAATAGCAATTAGGTACGATTTCTCAGCTAGACAGTTCTGCTTACCTGTACTGGGCTTAGCTAAATTTGACTGGGCTCCCCCAGGGCATGTGTGGTCAGCAGGTTTGGGGTCTGGGCCTCAGTTGGGTTGACTTTTTCCTAATCCACATGATTCTCCCACAGGCTAACACACTCTAGTGGACATGGCAGCTAGATAGTGTTCCACCAAGGAGAGAGGATGTGGGCACAATCTCTTAAATTCTAAACTCAGAACTGATCCTCCATGACTTCTACTGCATTCCATTGGCCAAAGCATAACACAGGCCAGCCCAGATTCCAGATGGGGAATAGTTGCAAGCTCATGCTGCAAAGGGTATGGATACAAGAAGCAGGGAAAATTGGGGCCACGTTTGTGATCAACCTACCACAAACTGGAAACATAATGGTACAGGAAATAAGCAACAATTATGAAATAAGTTTCATTGTTGTAATTATCCTGAAACAGTGTAGATCATAGGATTTTCACCAAGATGAAAACCAAAAAGTACTCAAAATTTTAATTAAGGACCATCTGAGAAGACACGAGAGACACCCATCAGATCCTGTCCCTGACCCACCCCCTAAGAGGCATTTCTCGCTCTGAAAGAAGAGTCCTTTGATCCCTGATGATTCTATGGAAGATTATTCCAAGTCTGGGGCCCCTTCAGAATGAAATCACTGCAGGCCTGTGAAGGGTTTGTTAGGTACCCAAGGTGATCAATTATTTCTGCAGTCCTGAAGGAGCACAGAGCAGTGAGATCATTGAAGTTGTTTCAGATGTCTTAACAAGGTCTCCTGATCTCAGGCTTTGTTTGACACAGTCAAGTTTTGAAAAAAGGTAGAAACGTAAAATTATGCTGTAGCCTGAAAAAATTCTCTTTTAAATGAAACCCTAAATTTATATTCAAAATTGTACGCATACTGCAATTGAAACCATGTAAAGCTATGTACATAAAAAGACAAAAGTAGACCAGGAACACACAAAAGGGAAAATAATTATATTCAGATGATGCAGTGGTCGTGTTTTTCTCATTTTTCAAAATGTTCTTTAATGCTGGGGTTATACTGTCTTACCATAAAAGGGCGGGGGGGCTGTAAATAAATTGAAAGCAAAGGTTAACAAGCGTTTATCTTCAATAGTATACACATTGCAGAACAGCAAAAGCTCAGTATTGTCTTTATTTTATAATCTTAAGTCTGACAATGAAATATTCAAATGCCAAGAAATACAAAAGCAGTTCAGAATTATACTTTAGGAAGAGTTATGTGACTCCACTATCATTACTTAATTCATACAAAGTGCCTTAAATAAGTGGTTTTATCTTTATCTTGTGATTTTTTATTTGGTAGATTTCTACGAATTTGTCTAATGATGACAGGCCAGCAGGGCCCATGTGCTGAAGCATATCTAACAATGCAATCACAGTAATTTGAAAAAATAACAAAAGAATAATCACGGCTATATATTCTCTGGCTGGTTTTGAATGCAAATGCAAAAATGTGGGTAAATGTTCAAAATTAATGTATCTAAAGCCAGAAAGAAAAACCTGGCTCGGTAGGA